TTAATAAATCATCGATTTGATCCGCGTCTTTTCTAGGTATAGCCATTTTAAATCATGATTTATTGGACTTTAATATTTCCCTTCATGGTACATGTGTTCTCATGATTTACCTTGATAACAATTATACTTTTTTGTTTAACTAGAAATATATTTACATATATGTATTATGAAGCAAGACTCTTCTGATCTGATTGGTAATTACCCAAGTGAAAATAACACCCAACACATACTACCAGGGGACACAATTTTGACAAGATTAAAAAAAAAATGCCCCCACCCTTTCTAAAAAAATTTAATTTACCAAAACTAAAAAGAAAAACTTTTCCAAAAATTAAAAGAAAATCCCCCAAAAGTCTTCCCAATAAAAGGTAATATTTGGCAATGCACATCAACATCGGTGTTGAAAAAATGTGTAGTTAAATTTTCTTATTATTTATTTTTCAATTGAATATCCCGGTATAAAAATGAGTTAAGGACTACTTGATAAGAAAATGCCTGTACCAATTCAGGAATATTACAGTTGTTATCCATTCGTTTGATGTGTTTGAGCTTTTGATTTTGATATTTGCTAAGGGACTTTCCGTTTAGTGTTTTCCTCGGAGTTTGGTATTTTTGCTATTTTACTTTTTTCGTAACAAATAGATTCGTTATCTTGGTGTAATCAGAAATGTAGGGAATTTTAAACAGTTTTTTTAATGCTTATATCCAGCTGCGGAATTTTCCTGCTGTGTTGAAGACCCATTGGTGGCCTTGAACTGTTTTCTGCACTTTGTCTCTTTGACACATATCCGTTTCCATTCTCAATTTTATATATCTTTGGGCTACGATTTAAAATACCGTATACCTCTGATTATACAAAGGTATACTAATAGTATTTCTGGTAATTGTGTTTTACATCTTCTTTTTGGCTGTGAATAAACACCGAAACAGTTTTATCGAATGGTTTAGGATATCTTATACAGTCAGCCAAGGTAACCATAATTGAAAATGACACTACCTCCTTTGTTGATGTGTTTTACTGCAATGACATACAACACATTTCTTATTCTGAGTTGCATTCATTTAAAAAAAAATTACCAATGTAATTAATAGTTAAGGAACGAGTTACTTCACAGAATCTTAAACACAATTGACCAAACAAGATCGCATGGGCTCGTTTATGCGTTTTTCTACATTTGAAAGAAAATGATATACACAAAAAAAAAAGAAACAAAAAAGAAACAAAAACATATCGTCCACAACGTACAAAACATATATAATGTGCTTCATATTGATCAGTGCATCATTTTTTTCATGGCGTCAGAAAAAAAGAATACAAATTTGACTAAAATTCATTCAGTATCGTTTCCAAAAACTCCGAAGAAAATAGAAACTAGCATGGCGTTAAAAAAGAAAGACAAGAAAGTTGACATAAGTAAAAAGTGCCTATCTATAAAAACAGTATTGAAGAATTTACATCATGATATCTTCGAATATTTCTGAATTGACTCAGTATCTGGTATGTTCAGCAACAAGTTACACGGATAGGAAATTCTCAAACAACAGAACTGAGACCAAAAAAATTGATTTGTTTTCGACTCTATATTTAAAAGCTAATAGTGTTTATCTAGAATTAAAGAAGCAAAATTCACTTAACAGCTTTTTAAAACAAAAGATGCACTTAATTATGATAAACGCAAATAAAATAAATGAAGATAAGGCGAAAGTAGTTTACCAGAGTTCAATCTCGTAAATCTATATAAAAAAGGGACAAATCAAGGTAATAAACAAAAAGTAAGGAATAGCATGAACTTAAAGGGATCGAGCCATTGATGTGACAATTATTTGACTGCACTAAGGCAAAGATATGAAAGTTATTAGCCTGTCCTTAGTCAGAGATCTACGAGTTATTTGCACACTTGCATCAAGTCATTTATAAAAACTGTTTTCCTGTTCCAAGTCAGGGATATACCAGTCATTTGTCTGTAGTATATATGAGATCTAACAGTTATTTGCTGTACAAGTCAGATTTGTGGCAATTATTTGCCTGTACCAAGTCTGAGATACAACAGTTATTTGCCTGTTCAAACTTTGAGATATAAACGGTTATAACGTGTACCAATGCCAGTCAGAGATATTCCAATTGTTTGCCTGTACTAAGTCTGAGATATAACATTTGTTGACTTTACCAAATCAGCGATATCTTAATCTTGTACCTTAACAAGTCAGAGATAAGACATTGTATTGCCTATACAAAGTCAGATATACGGCAGTTATTTGCCAATGCCACGTCAGGAGTTTGGCAGTTATTTGCATGCACGAAATCTGAGATATAACAACTGTTTGCCTGTACCAAGTCTGCGATATCACAGTTGTTTTCCTGCACAAGTCAGATTTGTACTAATTATCAGATTGTCTGCATATTGATATTGTAAAATAAAAGCTGCGAGTCACTATATGAAGGTTTTTTTGTCTAGTGAGCGCAGCAAACGATTGCAAAAAGGATTCATGTTGTGTCGAGCATCAGAAGAACGTCGATTCATGCATTGTGACGTCGGTGATATGAATGGTCAAAGTTATTAAGGCCAGGTCAACGTATTTGACGTCACAAAGCCGTGATATGCAATTTTATTAAGTGTTGAACAGAGTGATACAGACAGTGGGAACACCGATAAGTGACAATTATTTGCCTGTACCAAGTCAGCGATATAACAGTAATTTGCCTGTTCAAAGTTTGAGATATAAAAGGTTATAGCGTGTACCAATGCAAGTCAGAGATATTTCAGTTATTTTCATGTTCAAAGTCTGAGATATAACATTTCTGCCTGTACCAAATTATCGACATCTTAATCTTTTACCTGTACAGTCAGAGATGTGACAAAAATTCACCTATTCAAAGTCAGAGATATGACAGCTATTTACCTGTAAGACAGTTTATGACTGAGTTAAGTTAGAGATGTGACAGTCATTTCCCTATGCCACGTCAGAGGTTTGATAGTTATTTGCCTATGCCAAGTCAGAGTAGTGATCGTTTTTTGCGTGCATCACGCCAGAGATATGAGTAATTTTCCTTTGCCAAGTCAAAGATGTGACAATTGTTTGCAAATCGGAGATATTACATCTCAGCTATTTGCTAGTTCCACGTCAGAGATATTCAAGTTATTTGCTTGCACCAAGTCTGAGATATAAAAGTTATTTGCCTGTATCAACTCAGAGATACAAAACTATTTGCATGTACCAAATCAGAGGTATTATAGTGAGTTGACTTTATCAAGTAAGAGATATAACAGTTATTTGCCTGTACCAATTCAGAGATTTAAAATTATTTGCCCGTACAAAGTCTGAAACACAACATATATTTTCTTGTACATAGTCAGCGATATTTGGCTGTTCGAAGTCATATGTATAACAGCTATTTGCATGTGTATGATAATCATTAGCCTAGGCCAAGTCAGGCATGTGACAGGTTTAACATGCAATAGGCCAGAGATGTAACAGTTATTTGCCTGTTCAAAGTTTGAAATATAACATTTTATTGCAAATAAACGATATCTTAATCTTTTGCCTGTACAAGTCAGAGATGTGACAATTATTCACCTATACATAGTCCAAGATATGGCATTTATTTTCCTTCACTAAGTCAGGGATATGACAGTTAATTAATGCGTTAAGTCAGATATGGCACAGTTATCTGTGTGTGCAACGTCGTCTGAGGTTTGACAGTTATTTGCCTTTACCAAGGCTGAGTTGTGACAGTTGTTAGCATGCACCAAGCCAGAGATAAGAATTATTGTATTGGCCAAGTCAAGATGTGACAGCTATTTGCATGTACCAAGTCAGAAAATGACAGCAAAGCTATTTGCCTGTTCCATGTCAGAGATATTTCAGTTTATTTGCCTGAAATATAAGTCAGTGATGTGACATGTGTTTTTTCCTGCATCATGTCAGAGATACGACAGTTGTTTGCCTGAGCCAAGTCAGAGATATAAAAGTTAGTTTCCTGTATCAAGTCAGAGAAGTGACATGTGTTTTTCATGCACCAAGTCAGAGATGTATGACACTTATTTGTCTATACCTAATCCGAAATATGACAGCTCAGCTATTTGCAGGTGTCAAGTCAGAGATGTTTAAGTTATTTGCCTGTGCCAAGACAGAGATATTTCAGTTATTTGCATGTGCTAAGACAGTTATTTGCCTGCAATAAGTAAGAGAAATATAACAGTTTATATGACCGTATTTTTGTGTCTGCATCAAGTCAGAGATATGACAGTATTTGCCTGCACCCTGGCAGACGATATGACAAGTTATTTTCCTCTACAACGCTAGAATTGACGATTATTATCTGTCACCAAGAGATAAGACAGCTATTTGCCTGCACTCTGTCCGAGATATGACAAGTTATTTTCCTCTATCACGCCAGAAGTGACGGTTATTTGCTGTCACCAAGAGATATGACAGCTATTTGCCTGCACTCTGTCCGAGATATGACAAGTTATTTTCCTCTATCACGCCAGAAGTGACGGTTATTTGCTGTCACCAAGAGATATGACAGCTATTTGCCTGCACTCTGTCCGAGATATGACAAGTTATTTTCATCTATCACGCCAGAAGCAACGGTTATTTGCTGTCACCAAGAGATATGACAGCTATTTGCCAGTAGTTAACCTTGTTGAAGGGATGAACACTTAATCTCGATGTTGACAGACATATTCACTTTGAGCTCGGTATCTGTGTTATTCTTTTTGTTCGTGGATGTTTGTTATTGCCTGATAATCTACTAGTCGTTCTCTTTATTTGAAGCACCACTATTAAATATCGACACCGACGGACTCGGAAAGCGACTGAATTTAATGACGCAACCTATTGTAATAACAAATGTGCATGAATACAGGGAATTACAAAAATACCGAACTCAAAGTGAACATGTCTGTAAACTCCGAAAAGAACACAGTTTAAATACATCTACATTTCATTTTTTTTCTGATTTAATGTTATCAAAAGACTTTAAAATATTTCCACGATGAATTTATTGAACACAAGTAAGAATTAATAATTAATTCATATTTCTATATTTCATACCTTCCATCCATACAGTTAAGAAGTAAACATGAAAAGCACGGTATACAATAAGTTCGATAAACTACATTAGTCTTATTAATCATGTTGATGCTGCTACGACATAGACAGGTTTATAACAACATACCTGACCAATCTTAGTGTCCCATATAGACTTATTGTTCATAATCGATGGATAACAACTAAGTAGAACTATCTTACTATTGTCAATATATTTAACACATGAACACTTTTCCTGATGCGTAACATGTGACAAGGAACTTATTGTCAATTAGAGCGAGACGTTTGATCCAATTAAATAACAAACACGTAAATCATAATTTAAGATAGGAACGATTAATTTATAGATGTACATAAATCTTATCTTTGTTGCCATGCCAATAATTTCATTTAGAAATGTTTCTTTTAACGTTTATTACCTACATAGCTTACCAATCCTAGTGATCAATGGTCTCATTGTTCATTATCAACAATGAGTCCGTAGAACCACAGAACTACTGTCATTCGATTTCACACAGTATCACTTTTTCTGATAGGAGACATGTGGCAAGAAATTTATTGCCGCTTTGAGCGAAACGTATTGTCCATGGAGATAGTACTCCCAAACATTCACTTAAAATCAACCGTATTAATTTTCCATCGTTTATAATTTGATGAATATTTTAAGAGCTATGTCCAGCTATGTATATATTGCCTTCAAAGTCTATTCCGATTCCTCTAGGAACAGTCAAACGCGAACTCGTGTATGTAAAACTGGTTATATCACCTACTACACGTGACACCGAATTTTTCCCATCACCATAAATACAGTCTTTCTTGTCTGATGTTGATACAAAAAACGAAGAGCCACAGGTTGCCTTTTCTTTTAGTTTCTGTCCCGATGATGAGTTCATCCATGTCAGTGTTGTGGGAACAGATAGAATAAATTTGTCATTTTCGACAAAACATAACCCATATCCAATTATGTTATGTAGATTTAATGTCTTTAATAACTGTAAGTCTATACTGTCGACAATAAGGATTTCGCAAAGAGAATATAATGTTATAGCGACTTGACTCTGATCAACTTGAGTAACATCAGTAGGATATGACCTGACTTTTAACGAGGAGAGCAACTTTCCATCGGTACTGTATTTTTCAACTACCTCCTTATTTCCGCTTGTTAAAACTACATAATCACGAACGAATATTGCGCTAGCTTGTCCTAATTTTTCAGCAATGGTTCGTACTACTTTAATAACTCCAGTGCGAAAATTGACAGTTTTATTAACCAACGTACTTCTTGTTCTTTCCAGGCACTGTTCATTCATTTTAAAACTTCCTAGCGACTCTGTACTGCTCGTAAATTTTGTCATGTGGTCAGATGGTACTAATCGAAATGACACATTTTTTATGCTTTTGACGGTCTCATTTATTTCTTCTTCGAGTGTAGTTAATTTTGAACCAATTTTGTTCACTTCCAATAGACATTGTTGGTCAGATCCCCGTTTAATAGTACCAATGAGCAATCTTTCCCAATTATTGACCATGCTTTTATAATTTGAAAATTTGTCAATTTCATCGGTCAGTTTTATGTCGACTTCCTTTTTTGATGAAGACATTTCAAATTTTATTTGATCTTCTATTTTATTTAGATGTTCAATAGCTCTTTCTTTTAGTTTTGATATTTCTTGGAGAATATTTTCATATTCAGTTTGAATATTGTCCAAGGACTGCTTTCGATTTTGAACTATTTCATTGAATTCCTTACCTTTTTCCTTCAGTTTCCAAACCAATTCGGTGGTTTGATTGGACTGCTTGATATCACTTGCAGCTTTTTGAATCGATATTACGTTGTCACATTTCCTATGTGTTAGTGTTGAGCACAATGTACAGCAAGGCTTCGAATGATCCACACAGAAAACTTCTACGATCTTTTCTGTGTGTTCTTCGCAACTCAATGCCTCAGATAACTGAAAACCAGATAGGTCCGACTGAATTTCTTGAACGGCAATAACTGTATGTTTTGATTTTATCTTGAATGATTTGTGATATTCTTCGCACTGTCCACAAAACGCCTCCTCGCACGTGGTACACCAATAACTGGCTTCCCTAGTCTGATTTTTCACCTGACATGAATTACACATTTTTTCAGACCTTTGAATCGCTCGCTTGTCCAACATCGACGTAACAAAATGGTTCCTTGGTAGCTTTGATGCCCAAGCTTCTGGTTTTTCCTGTGTTCCTTTAAATGACACAGAAACTCGACACACTGGACGTCTAAATCCCTCGGAAGTATTGTCCTTTTCCTTCGATGACACAATGTATGTGTCAATACATGTTTCACAGAACGTATGAAGACATGGTAGATACTTCGGAACTTTGAAAGTCTCTAGACAAATGGTACATGTTAATAAATCATCGAATAGTTCTGTGTCTTTTGTAGGTGTGGCCATTTTAGATTTTTTGGACTTTGATATTTTCCTTCCTGGTTCGTATATTATCACAATTTACCTTGATCACAGTTTACCTTGATACTTGTTAAACTGATACGTAGTTAGATAAATAGTCTCCTGTTAAGTGAGAATAAATGCGTGTTTGAATAGTTTTATCGAATCAAAGGTCCACAATATTAAAGTCAGCCATAGAATAGGAAATTCAAATAAAAGCATCCAATCGAAAGTTTTATTTAGGGTCAGCATTTCACATATTTATAAGCAATTAATACGGGTAATATTAATTCTCTCCACTCCCATTTCGATGTAATAAAACAATACTCAACACATAAGTAATGATAATCATATGTTGACATAAATAAACATTTACAACTATATATATATGTCATAAATAATTTTTCATTTAAAGTCCATATTAATTATAAAAATTAACTTCCAAAATATATAAATGCACCAGTCACATCCCAAATAAACATCAAATTCAGCAATCTGCATTATCTGGAAAAGACTAACATCTTTGGTTTAATAAGGTATATTATAACACATGTACAAAAATATTCAAGTAATACAAAAATATGGGCGGGAGAGCGGGTAAATAAAACGTGTTGAATTGACCAGTAAACTAATTCAAATGACAAGGGAATATAAAATTTGCCAGAAGTGAACAGATTCTTCTATCAACCAATCAGAGGAGATTAAAATACGAACACTAAAAATTATGCATACAAACAGGTTAGGAGTAATGTCGAAAATATCCAAGATGGAATGAAGCATTTTTAATTAATTACAAATTTACCAATTCCCTCCACTACCATTTCGGTGTAGTAAAACAAAACTCAACACACAAGTAATGATAATCATATTTTGGCATAAATAAACATTTTTTATAATTATATATATGTCATAAATAATTTTTCATTTAAAGTCCATATTAATCATAAAGAATAACTTCCAAAATATATAAATGCACCAAACCAACGGCCACTATAAGTGTCCAGTGTTATTTAAAAACTACACTACAATATAAACATACCCATAGATGTATAAACCCAAAACAGTTTATACATCTATGACATACCTGATAATACAAACAACAAATACTGGAATCCTGCAAAACTAATAGAGGTTCACAGGTAAACCAGATGTAGAAGTAATGGTCTAGCCCAGCTTTCTTGACCATCATCTTCTGAAAAATAAAGTAGAAAACCACAAAGTATCTTGACCTAAAAGAGTACATGTAAATACAATATTTTAATTACAAATGATTAACTATATCAATAAAAAAAATTCGTATAACAGAAACACCAAAATAACTTAAGTGTAATCTATCTTTACAAAAACATTTTCTTTTATAAATAGATCCTGGTTGCTGAACAAATTGCTTGTAAGTTTTAACAAATAAAATATTTCTTTTCAATGTTAACTTCGCCAATTCTTTATTACAATCTATAACAGTTTAATTTGTATCATCAAAATCTATGGGTCTTGGCAAAATTGCCGAAACTATTATCTTTAAAGACGGTAAAGTGTTGCGAATAAAATCAATTAAATTATTGTAATATTGTAATTTGCTGGATAAACCATTCCAAACATCATTTGTGCCTATATGCATTATTAAATGTGTGTGATTTACTATCTTTCACAAATTGATGAAGTGTGTATATATTAGCACCAGTTAATGTTACTAATTCACTTATTTGTAAGTAGAATCTGACAACAACAAAACCTTATTTTTTGACACATTGTCTGCAAAAAAAAAAAAAAAAAAAAAAAAAAACAACAACACAAACAATTAAATGGGAATTTCTTTAGCCATAGCTCGTGATATAGTTTATAAGCGTCACTACTCCAATCCCCGTAAAATTGTATTAACTCAGAAGGAACGTTAACTTTACTGTGAAAAGCCGATGTAGCCCCTCCTCTGCGAAAAGAATGAGAGGAAAATTTAGAAGAATCTAAACCACACATTTCGAAAGTGTGTCTGAGTTTTTCTGATAAAATGAATAACATAAAATGTTATTGCCTTTAGTTTGTGGAATTAAAAGGGCGGGGTCATCAACATTGGCTGGTACTAGAGTGCACATACGATTGTAAGCATTATACGGACAAAGCGGGGAATCCTTTATCTTAACCAATGGTAACTCAGGTTTCCTATTACCAAATTTAATGGTTTTTGACCATTCCATTTTAACCAACAATTAAGTTATCACTATAAACAATGATGTTATTTGAATTTCTGCATAATTGTTTGCATGGATCAAAATTTTTTGCCGAAGTTGGAACTAGATTAGACTTTCTAACCATGAGAAAAAAGGCAAACAAAAAACAGCACCAGAAAGTTACATCAGACGGATTAGACATATCAAAAAATTCATACATTTTCAAAAGAATATGTGGAGTAATAGGTAAGGCTCAGTGAGGCATATGAGGATTTTGACGAGACAAACCTCTAAACAATGATTTTATGGAAAACCAATCTTCGGTGCGAAACTCAAATCCTAAAAGTCTTGACACCACTAATATAATTCTGAATAGAAGCTACACTCTTAAAACTTCTACTCAAAAAAAATCCATAGAGACAAAGAATATTTACAGAAGGAGGCAAAGGTGACATATTGAAATATGAGCAAAATAAAAAATTAGAAACAAATTGCACTTTTAAATTCTTATGAGTTCCTTCTGCACAGGCAGATTTCTTACACAACTCTGTGTCTCAGTTTCTGTAACTTATGTAGTTGAGTATCTACAATAAACAATATATATAAAAAAATTCACCAAGGAGAAGTAAAATGAAAGAGATCATCATCCAATTCAATTTATGTCCAAGAATTGACACGAGCCTGCTTTAAAAACTCACTGCTAATACCGGGATCCATACCCCACCTTGAAAGCATGTCAGCAACTCTATTTGCTTCACCACTCAAATGCCGTCTTTTGACTTGAAACTCATGACTAGCTGTCAGAAAACAGATTTCTCTGAGACAAGATTGCATGAAAGTATTTCTGCAAAGCACCAGAATTTAGTACAGTGACAGATGAGGAATTATCACAATAAATAACAACCAAAGAACCCTTGAGTACACTCGTCCATACTTTTAGACACACCATAACACAAAGAAGTTCCAGAGCGTTAATATGCAACTGTTTCCTACGAATAAATGCCGGGAAGACAGTATGAAAATACCTCCCATTACAAATACCTCCACAACCAACCAAAGTTGAAAATAAAACGTGTTGAATTGACCAGTAAACTAATTCAAATGACAAGGGAATATAAAATTTGCCAGAAGTGAACAGATTCTAACTTCATTCAGTCAATCAGAGGAGATTAAAATACGAACGATAAAATATGCATACAAACAGGTGGTAACGAGTAATGTCGAAAATATCCGAGATTGAATTAAGCATTTTTAATTAATTAAAAATTTACCGATTGAGTTCTTGAATTCTTCAGTTGCGCTCGGAAGATTCTCTTGGTTAGTAAATACATGTATTTGGATAACATTTTTAGCGCCTTTGGTCAATGCGACAATGAGTAAACTTGTTACAACTAAGACAAACAGTAATTTAGAACCGCTAACTTATTACTAGTATTTACTCAACAGTCCATCCATAACCCAAAATGTCCCTTTTTATCTTAGGATTAAAATGTACTATTGATTTCGGATTTAACCTCCAGGATATATGTCTAAGTTAATTTAACTGGTAGCGCCTCTTTATAAGAAATCTGGGTAACAAGTAGAAGGGATAACCGACACTAGTATGTTTCAATAATTATAGGTTCCTAGACCTTTCTTGGTATTCATTGTATTAGTGAACATAGACGAGGGTCGGGATAGGGGGTCTTTCATTTCTTAATTCTTTATTTTTTAGACCGTTTTCTCTATTCTTTATTCATTTAGCACATTATTCTCTATTCTTTATATTTCAGCACCCTATTATTCTCTATTCTTTTTTTTGTCCTTTATTCTGCACTTTTTGCCCATTATTCCGTCTATTATCTTAAACCCCATCCAGATCCTCATAGACACGTCGATTAAAACGTTCATTATATCGTATTACTACCATCATGAACAAGTAAATACATTAATATCTCAAGCTCAACAATGAATTCTCTACAACCTAAAAAAATGTATTTCTCATTTGCATAACTTCTGTTTGCCCTAGAACAAATATTGCAGAAAATGCTAGCCCTGGTAGAACAAATATATTCTGAAATTTTAATAATTTAATGACATTAGGGCACCAAATAAACAGGGCATCAGTATATAGATTAACCACATGCACATTTAATAAGACTCACTATTTAAACAAATGTATATAATAACATTTCCAATGAAAATTCTAACTCTAGATGTATGTATGATGAAACGTATTGTGATAAATGACATTCAGAGAAAATAATTAAAACTGATACATAATATGTTATGAAGCTATTTAATTGTGACAGTTATACAAATATAAAAGCTGAGCTTCCAAAAATAGCATATTACTCTATACTGTTTGAACTTATTCTACATTATTAGAAAAGAATATTTTCGGATTTATTAAATGGGAGAAAATTAAAATTTCTTCTTTGTTGTTGTGTTGTAATAAATGACCTAAAACAAAAGTCCCTATTCCTCGGTTAAATCACTCTCGCAATTATTGACCAGTGAAATGTTTAGTAAGAAACCAGTAACTTTACACAATAAATTTATTCAAACAACCGAAATAACTGAGATCGCATGGGTTGGCTTGTTTGTTTTTCCACACCTAAAAGAACATAATATCAAAAACTGAGAAATCAGCATGATAAAAATAAAGACCCCATGTTATGGAACGCCGACACTGTCTTATTATGACATTTCTCATTATATGATGTTCATTTGCCATTATATGATGTCATTTTACCCTTATATGATGTGCAAATGACATTATATGATGTGCACTTATCCTTATATGATGTACACTTGTCATTATGTGATATGAACTTGTCCTTATATGATGACACTTGTCATTATATGATGTGAAGTTGTTCTTATATGCTGTCCAAACACATTTATATGAGGTGCAAACATCTTTATATCATGTCCGCAATTCATTAAATGATGTG